GAGTTTTACTGTAGGTCTCTCTCTCTTTCGCTTTCTTTTCCTTTAGTTCAGCTGGTCAAGGTACCCGTAGCAACAGCGGATCTCACTGATTCTGCTTTGAGTTAGAACTCTGCAGGACACACACACATACACACACACTTTCAGTTTTACACAGCGGTGGTACCATCTTCCGCCAGAGTGGGGAATTTTGGGGGCTTGTTTGTCTGTTCATATGAATAGTAATGAATTGTATAATATAGGACTGTAAATGTGTTGCTGCAGATTTACAGAATAGTAGGTACTACCAGAGCCATGTATTTAAATAAATGGCTCTGGGTTCAACATGTTTGTGCAGAAAATGCCTCCACACTCTACTCTCACATACACACTGGGAGATTGTTCTCAAGGCTTTTAATGGACTGCATTACCTTCTCTCTCACATACACACTCGTACATGCACACACACTCACGCATACACACACACATACACACACACATTGTGGCGTAGGGAGGAAACTGTTGCTGAATAGAACAGAGGGCATAGAGATTCTGTTGTTTTAGAATCAAACGTACACTTACACAGACACTTACACAGACACAGACACACACAGAGTCCTTTGTCAGTGTTATCTTAATACCTGCAGTGCCTCTGCTCTCTGGTTTGGAAAGATCACCGTCACAAAATAATTCAGCCCCGGCCCCGTGTTTGTCTGTTTGTTAAGTTTGGGTTGCCAGGGTGGAGACTCTTGTGACCCAAAAACAAAGGACCCAGTCTTAAACCATGACTGAAAGGTACCAATTCCCCATATACTGTAAGAATGATTGCTGTGCTCTAGTACTTCTGTAGGAGCAGTCTCTCTGTACAGGAAAACCACCCTGTCGCCCACTAGCGATTGAATATGAAAAACAGACATGCAAATATACGAAAGCCACAGTCTTCCTGTACTCTCTGACACAATCCATCAGTGTCTGTGTCGCAGGGGCGGACTGGGACTGAAAATCGGCCCTGGCATTTCTAACACATCGGGAAATTTTTTCCCCGAGGCCCCCATTATTAGCCCACTAAGGATCATTTTGCGCTAAAAGCCCAAGTTAGACAGGCCCACTGGGCTAAAATTTGTCCAACCCGTCTGACATCTGCCTGAAATGCCAGATGGCCAGTCCGCCCCTGTGTGTGTCATTTTACTCTTCCTGTTGTCTACAATGGCGGCAACCACAGATCTGGAATCAGCTCTCCAAACCCTAACCTTGACCATAATGGAGGAAACCCTACGTCAGGGTCTAGGGGCATTTTCGTCCAACTCCCCAGTCCTTTTATTATTCGTCAGCCATTATATTATTTTTAAATATATATATTTTCTTTAAGACTATTTTCTCCTCTCATCCGCTCCTGACTGCATGTGCTGATGCTGCAGGGAGGGGGGTGTTGCCTATGCAACCAAAGACTTGTTTGCTACAATAACTTGCTTGTTTCAGCAAGGAGCAACAAAAACGGCGTCAAGTTAGACCCACATAAACAGACACACACATTTACATGCATTCATAAACTCACTCACTCTCTCTCACAAGCTGAACGTTAAAGCAGGCTGGTTTATTAGAGCAGGGCTCAGCTCTGGAAATAATTCATAAAGAAAAGAGGATCTCTTCTCCCTCCCTCCCATCCTGATGAGCATATGTATCTGTGTGTGTTTGTATTTGTGTGTGTGTGTGTGTGTGTGTGTGTGTGGTTACTGCTGTAGAGCGCTCCCTTGCTCCGAGCTGAACTTTGATGCTGTGGAAATGAATGAATGAATGAATGAATGAATGAATGAATAAAATCCCCACTGTTTATAATTCACACACACACACACACACAGAAGTGTCACGCCCTGACTCAGGGGACGGTTATTTGTTGAGTCAGGGTGTGTATATTTCGTGTTGTGTTTATTTCTATGTTTAGTTTCTAGATCGTTTAGATCTATGTTGGCCAGGGTGGTTCCCAATCAGAGGCAGCTGTAGCTCGTTGTCTCTGATTGGGGACCATACTTAGGCAGCCTTTTGGCACCAGTCAGTTGTGGGATCTTGTTCCGTTAAGGTTTGTTTTGTGTAACCTAGTACTCCTGAGTGGCGCAGTGGTCTAAGGCACTGCATCGCAGTGCTAACTGTGCCACTAGAGATCCTGGTTCGAATCCAGGCTCTGTCGCAGCCGGCCGCGACCGGGAGACCCATGGGCGGCGCACAATTGGCCCAGCGTCGTCCAGGGTAGGGGAGGGAATGGCCGGCAGGGATGTAGCTCAGTTGATAGAGCATGGCGTTTGCAACGCCAGGGTTGTGGGTTCGATTCCCACGGGGGGCCAGTATAAAAAAATATGTATTCACTAACTGTAAGTCGCTCTGGATAAGAGCGTCTGCTAAATGACTAAAATGTACAAAAAATGTAAAATGTACTTCACGTTGCGTTTGTTTGTTGTTTTGTCGTGAGTTAAGTACTTAATAAAATGTACGCTTATCACGCTGCGCCTTGGTCCTTCTCGTTAATGAGCGATCGTGACAGAAGATCCCACCAAGCCTGGATCAAGCAGCGTGACGAGGAGAGAGGATGGACTTGGGAGGAGATGAGCGAGAGTCTGGCAAGAGGGATGGAGGCCATGATTACGGGGGAGAGACAAGCCCAAACATTTTTTAGGGGGGGGCTCACGCCGTGGACGATGAGGCAGCAGGAGGCCGCGATAGAGCGGTTCAGCCGTTTAGCAGATGAGGCCGCCAGATTAAGGGGGTCATTGGTGCAGAGGGAGCAGAAGGAAAGTGTAGAGGCACGGCGAGAGGAGCTGGTTAGGCAGCAGAAGGAGCGGGGGTTAATGAAGGAACCCAGTCCCGCTCCTCGCACCAATCGAGTGGTGCGTGTCGCCAGTCCGGTCCGGCCCGTTCCTGATTCCCGCACTAAGCCAGTGGTGGGTGTTCCCAGTATGGTTCGGCCCGTTCCTGCTCCTCGCATCAAGCCAGTGGTGCGCATCGCCAGCCCGGTCCGGCCTGTTCCTGTCCCTCGCACCCAGCCAGTGGTGCGCGTCGCCAGCCCGGCCCGGCCTGTTCCTGCTCCCCGCACCAGGCCAGTGGTGCGCTTCGCCAGCCCGGCCCGGCCTGATCCTGCTCCCCGCACCAGGCCAGTGGTGCGCGTCGCCAGTCCGGTACGGCCCGTTCCTGCTCCCCGCACCAAGCCAGTGGTGCGCGTCGTCAGCCCAGTCCGGCCCGTTCCTGCTCCCCGCACCAAGCCAGGGGTGCGCGTCATCAGCCCAGTCCGGCCCGTTCCTGCTCCCCGCACCAAACCAGTGGTGCGTGTGTCCAGTCCGGCACGGCCCGTGCCTGTTCCACCGGTGCCTGTTCCGGCACCGGTCAGCTGCTCCACTCCGGAGCCAGAGCAATCCGCTCCACCGGTGCCTGATCCAGTTCTGGTCAGCGGCGCCACCCCGGAGCCAGAGCAGTTCGATCCACCGTCGTCGGTTCCAGTCCAGACCCAGACGTCAGCCCCTCTCCAGGTTCGGGGTCTCCCACACCAGGGTCCAGACAGGGCGTGGTACTTCGTGGGAGGAAGGAGAGAGGAAGCAGCGCGCCAAGGTCCAGACCAGACCAGGGGCGCAACGGGGAGGTGGAGAGTAAGTGATGGTTACACCCGGAGCCGGATCCGCCTCCGAGGCGGAATGCCCACCCGGCCCCTACCCTGTTAGGTTTATGTGGCGCGGTCGGAGTCCGCACCTTTGGGGGGGGGGGGGGGGGGTACTGTCACGCCCTGACTCAGGGGACGGTTATTTGTTGAGTCAGGGTGTGTATATTTCGTGTTGTGTTTATTTCTATGTTTAGTTTCTAGATCGTTTAGATCTATGTTGGCCAGGGTGGTTCCCAATCAGAGGCAGCTGTAGCTCGTTGTCTCTGATTGGGGACCATACTTAGGCAGCCTTTTGGCACCAGTCAGTTGTGGGATCTTGTTCCGTTAAGGTTTGTTTTGTGTAACCTAGGACTTCACGTTTCGTTTGTTTGTTGTTTTGTCGTGAGTTAAGTACTTAATAAAATGTACGCTTATCACGCTGCGCCTTGGTCCGTATCTTCTATAAACGATCGTGACAAGAAGAGAAGAGACCCTCTTTTCTTTATGAATTATTTCCAGAGCTGAGCCCTGCTCTAATAAACCAGCCTGCTTTAACGCTCAGCTTGTGAGAGAGAGTGAGTGAGTTTATGAATGCATGTAAATGTGTGTGTCTGTTTATGTGGGTCTAACTTGACGCCGTTTTTGTTGCTCCTTGCTGAAACAAGCAAGGTATTGTAGCAAACAAGTATTTGGTTGCATAGGCAACACCCCCCTCCCTGCAGCATCAGCACATGCAGTCAGGAGCGGATGAGAGGAGAAAATAGTCTTAAAGAAAATATATATATTTAAAAATAATATAATGGCTGACGAATAATATAAAAGGACTGGGGAGTTGGACGAAAATGCCCCTAGACCCTGACGTAGGGTTTCCTCCATTATGGTCAAGGTTTGGAGAGCTTATGTGTGTGTGTGTGTGTGTGTGTGGTTACTGCTGTAGAGCGCTCCCTTGCTCCGAGCTGAGCTTTGATGCCGTGGAAATGAATGAATGAATGAATGAATGAATAAATGAATGAATAAAATCCCCACTGTTTATAATTCACACACACACACACACACACACACACACACACACACACACACACACACACACACCACACACACACACACCACACACACACACACACACACACACACACACAATCAAAGGAATGGGTGCATAGCAAGGAGAGACACAGAGAGAAAGAGACTGTGTGTGTGTGTGTGTGTGTGTGTGTGTGTGTGTGTGTGTGTGTGTGTGTGTGTGTGTGTGTGTGTGTGTGTGTGTGTGTGTGTGTGTGTGTGTGTGTGTGTGTGTGTGTATTTGTCTGTCTGGCACTTGCTGATCACAGGAGAAGAGAGTGGGATGAGGGTGGAATAGAGTTTGGAATGGAGGGAGGGGGGAGATACAACACTGAATGAAAGTATGAAACCAGAAGCATGCACAGGGAAACACAAACACACGTTCTACGGTATCTGCCTTCTGTAAAAGAGAAAATGAGGTATGGGTTAAAGCTTCCACACGGATTTGTACCTGTCTCTTCACACCACTCTCATCTCTCAATCTTTCTCCATCCATCCATCCATCCATCCCTCCCTCTCTAATGTAATCTTTACTGCTCTATATCCTAGCAGCACTCTGTTATCTCAGCTGTGACAGCTCATCTACAGTAGTTAATATGGCTATCAGAGAGATGGGGAGCTAAGTGTGCTTCCTCTACCGCAGCAGTCTGCTCAGGGATTAATGGTTTGGTAGATGGGGAGCTAAGTGTGTCTCCTCTCCTGTGTGCTTCCTCTACCGCAGCAGTCTGCTCAGGGATTAATGGTTTGGTAGACTGCCATCATACCAGAAGAGGAATTTGGTGTTGCTACGGTAAAGATGACGTTCTGAGACGCAGTCTGAGACGAGGGTGCAGCTCAGGTTAGGGTTAGTATCAAGACACACACACTCACAGACACTTAAAGGTCTGTCTATTTCAGAATGTCCTCTTTTCTGTTCCACTTCTATGACACTGAAGTGCTGGAACCTTCTGTGTCACTTCACTTACATTATTACAGTTGTGGGGAAAGTTGACTAAATGTTGAATGTTAAGCTGTTGTGTGTGGTGCATAGGCTACAGTAAAAGGCCTGAATCTGTTCGTGGTGTTTCTGGGGTGACACTGCAGCCTCGGATGACACTGTGTTTTCCCATTGAGGGGTTCTAGAATGTTCCCTTGCTGTGTGAAGTGTAATCTGCTGGTCTGTGCTGTGTCTGTCTGGAAGTATGTGTTAGAGGTCTCCTCTGTGCCTCTTGTAAAGCTAAACCACCATGCCGCTCAGACAGTTAAGGTCAGACAGTTGTCCAGTCAAAATAGGGCAGGCTATGGATTGCGTGATTTGTATTTGCGTGTGTGTGGTGTGTGTGTGTGAACGTCCTCTTGCGTGTGTGTCACAGGTTGAGAGCGTCTGCTCCTCCGCCTGCTGTGACATCACCCTGAGTGATCACATGAGCTTCCCTGTCTGATCCTGTCAACGTGAGAACAACAGCAACATCTCATGTGTGAGGCATGTCATGTGCACTTTCCCTGGCTGTGGATGTTCCTGGGAGCCCTGGGTGTGGTTGTGGTTGTGGGTGTGGGTGTGGGGGTGGTTCTGGGTGTGGGTGTGGGTATGGGTGTGGTTCTGGGTGTGGGTCTGGGTGTGGGTCTGCTCACACTGCTGGTTCACTTTCTCTGTCCTTGAGCTCTGTGTTGGTGTGGTGGGCCGTGGACCGGGAAGGATGACGGGTCAGTATTGTCCTACTACTCCATTGTCTCTCTCTCTTCTATAGGAATGCACAGAGGGGAGGGAGGGAGAGAGAGCACTATATTTAGCAGCCAGCAAACATCAAGACACTGACACAGGAATTCCTTAGAGACTTGATTGTTTTCAAGAACTAATTTGAATCATTGAATCTTGACCCTCCAACACACACATTCCTCCAAGCACATCTGTATTCACACAGGTGTAGGCCTATGTGTGAGGCAGGTGTGTCTTCAAAGTGCTTCTCTATGGCAAATAGCAAGCTATAGGAATATGCACACTGTCTGCAGATATTGTGTTGCACATAATACAGTGATAATGCTGTGCCAATACCCTAGCTTCTGTGTTACAGGGATTGTCATGCTGTTTCAAGGTCTTTGGGGGCGGCAGGTAGCCTAGCGGTTTAAGAACATTGGACCAGTAACCGAAGGGTCGCTGGTTCGAGTCCCCGAGCCGAATAGGTGAAAGATCTGTCTGTGTCCTTAAGCAAGGCTCCTGTAAGTCACTCTGGATAAGAGTGTCTGCTAAATGACTAAACTGTAAAACTGTAAACTGTATTTGTGTTAAAGTGGTGTTTAGTCTCGTGGTCGTTTAGAAATGGTTAGTTTGTGACATTTAGACCAGTTTGCCCAAACTCCCTCTGCATTCTCACCTCATGAACTCTTACTGCTGGAATATGCCAAGATAAACACAACATCATACACACACAGACACACCCACACCCACAGCAACATTAGCCATGCCATACACACAAAAAAATTGAATGATCGCATGACTGTAAGTCTCTTTGGATAAAAGCATCTGCTAAATGGCATATTATGGAAAGTTGCCGCACACACACTAAACACACAACAAACAAACTAACATCCCAAGAAGATGCCTTGTTTCATATTATTGAGGAAGAGAAGAGAAAAGACGAGAGGAAGGGAGAGAGGGAAGAGAAGATACAGAGACGAACGAGCGCGAACGAGAAGATACACGAAATCTTTAGCCTGAGCTTCTAGCTTCGCTATCGCTTCTCTTCTCTTCTCTTTTCGCTGTGCTGCGCTGACTTCCTTCTTCTTCCTCTTCTTTCTTCTCCTGTACTACTTCTCTTCTCTTCTCTTTCTTCCTCTCCTCCCTTCCCTCCCCCCCCTCCTTTTTCCTCCCCTTCTCCCTTCTCCCTTCATCTCCTGTCCCCATGCCTTACCCCTCCCCCTCTCTTCATCCCCGCCCCCCCCCCCTCACCCGGCGCCGCTAACTCCCCCGTCATCTACGCCCCTGTAAGGTCTTCCAACTCCTTTCCCGTTGCTTTCCATCCTTTCCATTCTGTCCACTCGCCCAGACCTCTGCTCCGTAGACTCCACTCCGAGTCAGGGTCCCAGCCCTCCCCTCTATACGGGTGTGACTCCCCGTGGGCCTGCGCACGATGATAGCGGATGTTACGCAGAAATAAAGAGGCGTGAAGGGGGAGTAGAATGGCTCCCGCTTCTTCTCCCCCCTTCCCTTCGCCTTCTGGGTTACTGATCTTCTTTCGGGATTATCCTTTACGCCTTTCCTTGCCGATTCTCGTGGGGTGGGGGCCCTGAAACTCTCGTTGGTTGGAGACCGGTGATCTCTATATTCGTCCGTTGTGCTTTGTCGCGGCTCTTTGCATGGCCTCTTTTCTTCACAGACGCTACCCCTCGAGTGCTCTCTCTCGTCGATCAGTGCTTCCGGGAGGGTCGTGGAACAGTCATACGGGGGTTCCATTCGCGCTGTCGCGTCGGGCTCGTGGCGATTTGCGATCAATCGTATCTGGCTTAGTCGTCGGGACGGATTGTGGAGCTGCCCGGGGGGTGCTCTCAAGGGTAGTAAGGGATCCTCGTTATGCTGCAGTTTCGAATGAGAGTGTCGATTAGCACAGGTGGCGTCGGGTTGTTATAAAGCAGGCGGGGTCGTGTGGTGCCCCTCTGGAATCTCTGAAGCCTACGTACGTGAGCTCTCCCTGGCTTCCCCTCACCCTCCCTCCTTCCCCTTCTCTCCTCCTTTCCCCCCTCCTCCTCTTTCCCTCCTCCCTCACCCCCGCCTTCCCCCTCCCCCTCTTTTCTTTTGCTAAGCTCTTTTTGCTCAGCAACCCATGCCTCCCACTCTTTCCTTTTGCTTTACCTTCTTCACATTCCTACTCTCCAGCTTTGCTCTCTCTCTGGTTCTCTCCTCGTCTTGTTGATCTCTATGCTACGTGAGAATCGCACATCACTTACTCTCCCCCCGAGTGGGCCGCGAGTTCCTCATCACCCGTTCAGGCTCCTATTCTCGGGTACCTGGTCATCTCAACGCGGGCGCGTCGTGTCGTCTTCTCAGGTCTCTACTAGTTCCCAACGATGCGGGCGCATTCATACTGTCCTAGGACGTAGTCCCTCCAGAATATACTCTCATTACGCACCTCGGGGTCTTGTCCGTTAGAATCTGCGGGGAAGATTGAGGAGAGGATTGGTACGCAGCCTCCGAACCCCGTGCAAAGAGAGCATAGCCCAGACGTCCACCATCTCTCCTACCAGGTGCGTGGGCGTCCGTTCGATGGTACGTACGTAGTTCAGCTTTCCTTTCCTCACCCACACCGGAAGGCTTGTGCAGGTGTGGTCTAGTAATGACAGTGGGTAGCATGGGGGGAGACAGAGAGCAGGAGATAGGGTAAAGGCGGAGCAGCCCGCCCTTAATATCATGTCGTTACGGATTATCTGTGCTGTCTAGGTGTCTAATAATCCTTCAAAAGAAATTATGTCCTACTACAGTCACACTGCATGGGGAGGTGGAGTTTTGGTGCTTTTCCGTTGGCTCTAGTCAGTGGGAAGATATTGGAGATTGGAGCTGTCACTGTTCCCAGTGAACTGTCTGAGAGTTGGGGATGTAGGAGTGAGATAACATAACCACCCATAGTTCAGAGAGTCATTATGGCTGGAGTTGGTAGGATGGATGGAGGGGAGTGGAGTATATGGAATCATGATTTTTGTATGGCGTAGGCTTAAGTAGGCTCATTGATGTTTGTGTGTGATTGATTATGGAGATATCGTCAGTATTAGGCTAGATGTTGTTTCCCTTTAGTAGCAGAGTAGTAGGAGGTTGATGTTTTTTTTTTGGAAGAGGAGGGGAGGAAGGGGTGGGTGGGGTGAAGGGGAGAGGAGGAGTGGAGGGAGGATAGGTGGAGGAAGAGGGGAGGGAGGTGGAGGAGGAAGAGGGGAGGGAGGAGGAGGAAGGGAGGGAGAGGAGGAGGAGGAGTGGAGGGAGGATAGGTGGAGGAAGAGGGGGAGGGAGGAGGAGGAAGGGAGGGAGGAGGAGGAAGGGAGGGAGGTGGAGGAGGAAGAGGGGAGGGAGGAGGAGGAAGGGAGGGAGGAGGAGGAGGAGGAGGAGGAGGAGGAGGGAGGGGGGATAGGCAATGTCCGGAAGCCAGTGGCGAGTGTGAGTGTGTGCATGTGTGTGTGCTTGTGCATGAGAGAGTGAGTGTGTGCATGTGTTTGTGCGCATGTTTGTGTGCACCCTGGGTTCTTAGGCCTGAGTGGAAACTCCTGTGTCAGTGTCTTTCTGAAAGTTAGCACCCTCTGCTGTTTAGAGTGATAGCAGCTGAATGAGGGAAATGTCATGAAGCCATCACAGAGGAAGTCAAGGTGTCCTCAGGTCTGAGTCATAATGACTGCTCTCTTTCTCAACTTCCCCCGGTACTGCAGTTCCTGTTTCTCACACAGCCTGTTGTCTGTCTCTCTCTCTGTGTGTTTCAGCAGAATGAGGTCAAAGAGGAACAGGGGGGAGGGCCCAAGGCTCTGTCAGAGGAAGAGGTGCGGGCCAGGATAGAGGACTACAACTCTAAGGTCTCAGAGAATGGCATGAAACTGGTGAGTGCTACAACATGTAACACATACACATAGGTACTAGTATGAAGTACTGAATCTGAATTTACCAATATATACACAAAGGCATCATACTCTCTCTCTCTCTCTCTCTCTCTCTCTCTCTCGCTCTCAGGCTGCTGATGGTTTGTACAGTGGCTTCATTAAGGTCCACCTCAGGCTGAGTCGGCCAGTCACGGTGCTCGCTGTGGAGGGGGCGGGATTAGAGGGACATGCAGGCCAGGCAGACAGATGCGGTCGGCCAATGACGGTGTCAGAGGGCCAGAAGAGGGAGGGAGCGGGGTTGAGTGACAAGCGGACGTCGTTCTACCTTCCCAGTGACTGTGTGAAGCAGCTCCACATTAGTTGTACTACCACAGTTAGGGAGGTCATACAGGGCTTGCTGAAGAAATTTATGGTGCTGGATAACCCACACAAGTTTGCCCTATACAGACAGACACATCGCGATGGACAGGGTGAGTTATACACACACATTACATGTGTATACATTCGCACATTTACATTCTGCCCCACTGCTGAGTGTAGATTTGAAGATGTCTGATAATATGCAAATGGCCTGGATTGGAATCTGATGCGTCTTTCCTTTGTCGTGTGTCTGAGTAGATCTGTTCCAGAAACTTCCTCTGGTGGAGTGTCCTCTCGCCCTGAGACTGGTGGCAGGTCCAGACCCTGAGCTGCTCAGCTTTGTCCTCAAGGAGAACGAGACTGAAGAGGTGGAGGTAAGACAAACACACACAAACACACACACACACACACACACAAAAACACACACGCAAACTCACGCAAACACACACACACACAAACACACAAAACACACACGCAAACACACACACACACAAACACACACATACTGTGTGTCCTAGAATCATTCTCTAACATCTCTAATATCACTAATATCTCTCTCTTTCTCTCTCTTCCTCTCAGTGGCATGCGTTCTCGGTTCCTGAGCTGCAGAACTTCCTGGTGTTTCTGGAGAAGGAGGAGACTGAGCGAGTGCGATTGGTGGAGCAGAGATTCGCAGCCTACCGACAGAGATTGCAGAAGGCACTATGCAAGCATCAACCCTGACCCCTCACCCTTGACCCCTCGTCCCTAATCTCTCACACTGACCCCTCAACCCTCACCCCTCTCTTGACCCAGGGAGACAGGAGACCAGTGAGGCTCACAGACTCCTATACCTCCCTTCCTCCTCACACCCACTCTTGAGAAGAGAGGAGGGGTTGAGAAAGCATGGAAAGGGAAAAGGTGACTGTTTGAAGGACGAGTGGACAGGATGCTGGAACAAAATAAGTGTTTCCCTTGGAGGTGAAAGACACACTGAACTGAAGGACCCTCTGACTTCTTTGGGCTCAGATATCTCAGTTTGGTCTGACAATGTGACCTGATGGGTCTTCTAATGTTACATTGACTCTCAGTTTGGTCTGATAATGTTTTTAAAATTATACTGCTGCTGCTGCAAGTGTTACTTATTTACTTAGTTACGTATTTACTAAGGCATGAGTCTCACCCTGCTCCATCTGCCCCAGTGCCCCTGCATAAAGATTTAGATGGACTAGAACAGACATTACCATTCAAAGCAACACTCCATGGTGGATGGACCATTTGGAATGTTCCATTACTTGATGTTTATGATATCAACTCTCATATTGTCCCTGCATGCCTTCTGTCCAGGGCCGAGGGTAGGATAGGAGGGTAGGAGACGGGTGGGTATGCTTGGGTTGGGAAGTAGGGTTGGGATGGTGGGGTAAAGCTATGTAGGGTTAGGGTGGGGTGGGCCAAAGGAATGCCAGAATCCATCCTCATCTTCAGACTCCTCTCATATCAGTTCCAGGGATGTACAGCAATGTTTCTCATAGAACTGCTCTGCTGAGCTCAGGAGGCTACAGAAGCAGAAGACCTGAACTCTCTATCCTAACTTCTTTATCCAGCACTGAAATAACCCCTCTATCTCCACAGCTCTATCTCAGGCGGCTAACTTTCACTTAATCCTGCATCTCCATCTACCTGGGTAACCATGCTAGTGTGGGATTTCTTGTGCAAACAGACATATATATCATAGATCATCTCCATCTACCTGGGTAACCATGCTAGTGTGGGAGGTCTTGTGCAGACAGACATATATATATCATAGATAATCTCCATCTACCTGGGTAACCATGCTAGTGTGGGATTTCTTGTGCAAACAGACATATATATCATAGATAATATCCATCTACCTGGGAAACCATGCTAGTGTGGGAGGTCTTGTGCAGACAGACATATATATCATAGATAATCTCCATCTACCTGGGTAACCATGCTAGTGTGGGATTTCTTGTGCAGACAGACATATATATCATAGATAATCTCCATCTACCTGGGTAACCATGCTAGTGTGGGAGGTCTTGTGCAGATATATGTGTATATCATAGGTAGATGCTATTCCCATAAATACTAGTCTCTTCAGATAGCCATTGAGTACCCTGACTGCAATCACATAGTCAGAGACATAGCCCTTCTGTACCCGGGATTCATTCACCCATCCTACAGAAGCATACCATATGTAAACAATCAGTACAATCAGTAGATTCCTTCATTGCATGAAATGTCTGCTGGTGTTTTAAGCATTTACAAACTAGTTGATTGTTTGACTCGTCATAAACTCTTCACCCTTCCCTCATCAATAACCCCTGACCCTTATCTCCTCACCCCTAACCTGGAAATGTACATGCTGCTGTTCCCAGTGTCTGTGGAGAGTGTATGCAGCTGTAGCTACTGTTGTTAGAGGCCTGTTAGAGCCAGCCACTCTGTTGTTAGAGGCCTGTTAGAGCCAGCCACTCTGTTGTTAGAGGCCTGTTAGAGCCAGCCACTCTGTTGTTAGAGGCCTGTTAGAGCCAGCCACTCTGTTGTTAGAGGCCTGTTAGAGCCAGCCACTCTGTGCTGCTGTGACAGGCCCCTGAAGCCCAACTACTGAGCCGACTGTTACAGGGCTGATTGATTGAGGAATTGATGCTCAAACACTGATTGAGGGTCAAAATGGACAGGAAGAACTCCTGTCCCTATAGTTCATTGAGCAGAGAAACACCATTCTGGTGATCACACCAAAGTTAAATAGGATAGGGGCAGTGGGAGATATGCCTGACTGAACAGATGACGTATTGTAGGAAAAACATGTTTTGCACACTGATTCTGGCCACAGATTGGTCTGCCAGTCTGTACAGTATCCTAGAGAAGGGGCATGAAATGAGTGATTATTTTGTAAAAAGGGAATTTTATCATACCAATAATGTTTATCTGAGTGTGATGCATATGTATATATGTAAACATTGGAGGAAAAAAGTATTATTATTGATTATAACTATTGCTATTTGAATTGGTGTGTGCGTCTGGGCTGGAGATAATAGTATAAATATGATATGTATTCCAGTGAGTCTTTCTCATCGTCCAAAAGCACATGCCTTCCTGATGCCGAGAGTCCCAGAAATGCCCCTGTGCCCATCTCATACCTTTACCAACCCCCCTTTTATTCCTGGCCTCACAGGGCATATAGAGGCCACACAAAGATCTGAGACCAGACTACAGTCGTGGTCAAAAGTTTTGAGAATGACACAAATACACATTTTCACAAAGTCTGCTGCCTCAGTTTTGATGATGCCAATTTGCATATACTCCAGAATGTCATGAAGAGTGATCAGATGAATTGCAATTAATTGCAAAGTCCCTCTTTGCCATGAAAATGAACTTAATCCCAAAAAAAACATTTCCACTGCATTTCAGCCCTGCCACAAAAGGACCAGTTGCCATCATGTCAGTGATTCTCTCGTTAACACAGGTAAGTGTTGACGAGGACAAGGATGGAGAATACTCTGTCATGCTGAATGAGTTAGAATAACAGACTGGAAGCTTTAAAAGGAGGGTGGTGCTTGAAATCATTGTTCTTCCTCTGTAAACCATGGATACCTGCAATGAAACACGTGCCGTCATCATTGCTTTGCACAAAAAGGGCTTCACAGGCAAGGATATTGCTGCTAGTAAGATTGCACCTAAATCAACCATTTCTCGGATCATCAAGAACTTCAAGGAGAGAGGTTCAATTGTTGTGAAGAAGGCGTCAGGGCGCCCAAGAAAGTCCAGCAAGCGCCAGGACCGTCTCCTAAAGTTGATTCAGCTGCAGGATCGGGGCACCACCAGTGCAGAGCTTGCTCAGGAATGGCAGCAGGAAGGTGAGTGTGCATCTGCACGCACAGTGAGGCGAAGACTTTTGGAGGATGGCCTGGTGTCAAGAAGGGCAGCAAAGAAGCCACTTCTCTACAGGAAAAACATCAGGGACAGACTGATATTCTGCAAAAGGTACAGGGATTGGACTGCTGAGGACTGGGGTAAAGTCATTTTCTCTGATGAATCCCCTTTCCGATTGTTTGGGGCATCCGGAAAACACCTTGTCCGGAGAAGACAAGGTGAGCGCTACCATCAGTCCTGTGTCATGCCAACAGTAAAGCATCCTGAGACCATTCATGTGTGGGGTTGCTTCTCAGCCAAGGGAGTGGGCTCACTCACAATTTTGCCTAAGAACACAGCCATGAATAAAGAATGGTACCAACACATCCTCCAAGAGCAACTTCTCCCAACCATCCAAGAACAGTTTGGTGACGACCAATGCCTTTTCCAGCATGATGGAGCACCTTGCCATAAGGCAAAAGTGATAACTAAGTGGCTCGAGGAACAAAACATCGACATTTTGGGTCCATGGCCAGGAAACTCCCCAGACCTTAATCCCATTGAGAACTTGTGGTCGATCCTCAAGAAGCGGGTGGACAAACAAAAACCCACAAATTCTGACAAACTCCAAGCACTGATTATGCAAGAATGGGCTGCCATCAGTCAGGATGTGGGCCAAAAGTTAATTGACAGCATGCCAGGGCGGATTGCAGAGGTCTTGAAAAAGAAGGGTCAACACTGCAAATATTGACTCTTTGCATAAACTTAATGTAATTGTCAATAAAAGCCTTTGACACTTATGGAATGCTTGTAATTATACTTCAGTATAACATAGTAACATCTGACAAAAATATCTCATAACACTGAAGCAGCGAACTTTGTGAAGACCAATACTTGTGTCCTTCTCAAAACGTTTGACCACGACTGTACATGTCAACGATGGAACCCATAAGATTGTGTGTGTGTGTGTTTGTGCGCTTGCATGTGTCTGTTACATCTGCGTGTGTTATTTATTTTATGGTTCACCCCCTTCGGCATGGTGATAAGTGTCAGAGGATGTGGGCAATCAATGCTTTCCTGTAATCTCTTAGTTTGGTTTATCTGAAGAATCAGACATTTGTAAAGCTGTCTGTAAAGCTGTAAAGAAAATGAAGAATGAAATAAATGTCATCCTTTAATGAGTCTCTCTCATGTCCTTTCTGAGTTCATTCTCACTCTGTTTCCTGGTCCAGAAAGTCCCCTGGGTATACTCTTATCATATCTCATGTGTCCTGTTCACTCTGTGCTGTTGCCTTATGTCCCTGTTTATGTAGTCGGCAGGCCAGCTTCCTCGCTGTCGGTGGCGGTTCTGCAACTCCCCAGAGTTCAACCAGCTCCTTCTAAAAGGCCTCTGTTTCCTCATTTTAGAACTTTGTCAAACTCAGATTCCCTTCCATTAATTAAGAGTCGCAAATGGTTTTCTGTGTGCTCCAGAGGTGTGCTCATTCAAAAGCAGAGTTGGAGAGAAAGTCAACTTCATTCATTATTTATCCTATAGATAAGTATATACACTGCTCAAAAAAATAAAGGGAACACTTAAACAACACAATGTAACTCCAAGTCAATCACACGTCTGTGAAATCAAACTGTCCACTTAGGAAGCAACACTGATTGACAATAAATTTCACATGCTGTTGTGCAAATGGAATAGACAACAGGTGGAAATTATAGGCAAATAGCAAGACACCCCCCAATAAAGGACTGGTTTTGCAGGTGGTGACCACAGACCACTTCTCAGTTCCTATGCTTCCTGGCTGATGTTTTGGTCACTTTTGAATGCTGGCGGTGCTTTCACTCTAGTGGTAGCATGAGACGGAGTCTACAACCCACACAAGTGGCTCAGGTAGTGCAGCTCATCCAGGATGGCACATCAATGCGAGCTGTGGCAAGAAGGTTTGCTGTGTCTGTCAGCGTAGTGTCCAGAGCATGGAGGCGCTACCAGGAGACAGGCCAGTACATCAGGAGACGTGGAGGAGGCCGTAGGAGGGCAACAACCCAGCAGCAGGACCGCTACCTCCGCCTTTGTACAAGGAGGAGCAGGAGGAGCACTGCCAGAGCCCTGCAAAATGACCTCCAGCAGGCCACAAATGTGCATGTGTCTGCTCAAACGGTCAGAAACAGACTCCATGAGGGTGGTATGAGGGCCCGACGTCCACAGGTGGGGGTTGTGCTTACAGCCCAACACCGTGCAGGACGTTTGGCATTTGCCAGAGAACACCAAGATTGGCAAATTTGCCACTGGTGCCCTGTGCTCTTCACAGATGAAAGCAGGTTCACACTGAGCACGTGACAGATGTGACAGAGTCTGGAGACGCCGTGGAGAACGTTCTGCTGCCTGCAACATCCTCCAGTATGACCGGTTTGGCGGTGGGTCAGTCATGGTGTGGGGATGGCATTTCTTTGGGGGGCCGCGCAGCCCTCCATGTGCTCGCCAGAGGTAGCCTGACTGCCATTAGGTACCGACATGAGATCCTCAGACCCCTTGTGAGACCATATGCTGGTGCGGTTGGCCCTGGGTTCCTCCTAATGCGAGACAATGCTAGACCTCATGTGGCTGGAGTATGTCAGCAGTTCCTGCAAGAGGAAGGCATTGATGCTATGGACTGGCCCGCCCGTTCCCCAGACCTGAATCCAATTGAGCACATCTGGGACATCATGTCTCGCTCCATCCAGCAACGCCACGTTGCACCACAGACTGTCCAGGAGTTGGCGGATGCTTTAGTCCAGGTCTGGGAGGAGATCCCTCAGGAGACCATCCGCCACCTCATCAGGAGCATGCCCAGGCGTTGTAGGGAGGTCATACAGGCACGTGGAGGCCACACACACTACTGAGCCTCATTTTGACTTGTTTTAAGGACATTACATCAAAGTTGGATCAGCCTGTAGTGTGGTTTTCCACTTTAATTTTGAGGGTGACTCCAAATCCAGACCTCCATGGGTTGATAAATTTGATTTCCATTGATAATTTTTGTGTGATTTTGTTGTCAGCACATTCAACTATGTAAAGAAAAAAGTATTTAATAAGATTATTTCATTCATTCAGATCTAGGATGTATTATTTTAGTGTTCCCTTTATTTTTTTGAGCAGTGTATTTTGTGTGTCCGCAGAACAGAAGAAGCCTGCTTTGCGCCTCAACATTTTTTTTTAATGGAATGTTTTGTGTATGGATTTCAGAAGCAGGGCGCCTGTCAAGGGGTTGCGCATGAAGTGTATGCAGATGATATACCTGATGGAGGTAAAAAACGTATGCACTCACTAACTGTAAGTCACTCTGGATAAGAGCGTCTGCTAAATGACTAAAATGTAAAATGTGAAGTGATTGGTGCACGTTGACTGACCTGTGGATGGAGTAAGGAAACCCACTTCCATATTTTTGTTTTTTGATGAGTCAGGCTTTATGAGATACCCTGTATGAGCTTTTGTGCACAAGCCCATCCAGTGTTATAAATGCAAAAGATTTGGGCATGTATCAAATGTATGCAAATGGGAGAATATCGTATGCCAGCTGAGGTTATATGCTGCAACTGTGGTGGCGAACATGCGCCCCAGTCCCTGGATTGCCCTGTTAGGGTGAAGGAGACAGAGGTGGTCTGGAGGCGGTGAGAAGAGTGGAAGAAGTGAGTGGCGTTGAAGATGCAATGGTAATTGAGACTGCACCAGTGAATGTTTCTTGGCAATCAAGGGATCTTTATATATTCAATGACTGTATATATGAATGGACAAAAAAGTCAATCACTTGACACCATTCATTCCTATGTGAAAACTCAATAGCACATTGAAGTTGCAGGTTAGCTCTGTGCTGCCCCCTCTCAGTGAGTAATGTTGCTTTCAAGACAACTGGGAACTCTGAAAAAACTCAGGTCAACTCATGATGTCAGTGATCTTCAGGTCGGAAAGCCGGAGATCTAGAAAGATGCCAGAGTTTCCGACTTGGAATTCAACGTTTTTTTCCCAGTCAAAGCTGTTTTTTTCCCCAGTTGTCTTGAACGGCACGGAAGTCGGAGATTTCCGAGTTCCCAGTTGTTTTGAACATGGCATACATAACTCAAGTTGAAGGCTGACTGGGATGATGCAGGCTGCCATTAGCAACTAAATTATCCTTAACTTCTTCTGTGTGCAATTTTAAAATAATCGGTTCATGGACATTCATCGGGTGTATTAGAAGCAATTATTGGTACCGTGATTGTCTTCTAAACATTTTATTTACACGAAGATTCAAATTTTTCCATTCACTATGATGGGGATCCTGTTTCCTGCTAACAATGCCTGCAGTACCGCGGTCGGCCTTGAACTTCCGTGACTTCAATGAGAGAGGGCAGTCCTCCCCTGGATATATTACATGTGAAAAAGGTAGACTTTGTAGCATTTATTGCAATGGTCATAAACTGCACAGCACAAACTTAGAAAACATCTGAGAAAATGTGCAGCAGAACGCTTTTTGGGTTGAGCCTGTGTAGGATGTGTCTTGAATTGGAATGTGACTGAATGAGTGGAATGTTTTTTAATGGGTCTATTTTTGTATTTTGGATGATGTCGTCCCCCCCCCCCAGCCCTTTCCTACAATGGATATTTTTTATATAGTTTACCACCCGTACAGTAGGTGGCAGCATGTACCTAACGCTTGTTTGCAGACCCTCATTATACCATTGAAGAATAAGAATTTTGTGCACGCTTCACGATTAGCTTAATCTCTAGAATATTATTACAAATATTGGCCAAAATGCCGCGTGTGTACGTCGGCAGATTGAGCTATCATATACGTGAGAAAGACATCCAGAGTTTTTTTTTGTGGTTACTGGAGGTTGATCTGAAGAATGGGTAAATTAAGATGTTAACTAGCTCGCTAGCATGGGCAAAATGGCGACTGCAGTAGCTAGATTGTCAGCTGTTGTTGACATTTAGTCAACACAGTAGACCTACCGACCCGTCGTCAACATTGCTCCGTCTTCTTGCTCATGCACTATCAAATGTTGCAGGTACGGCTTCGTGGAGTACGATGACACGCGTGACGCCGACGACGCAGTTTATGAGCTGAACGGCAAAGACCTTTGCGGAGAACGAGTCATCATTGAGCACGCTCGTGGTCCACGCAGGGACCGTGATGGATATGGTGGCGGATTTAGTAAGTGTACTCTATAACTTGTATGTATAACTGCAGCAACATTACATTATTTACTTTTTTCTCAGGTGTGATGATGGGGAGTTCCAGCAGGAGGCAGTAAAGTCATGAACACCACACTTCGCTAGCTCTTCCAACGATACTAGATTATTCTATCTGTTCCTTGTAATTTGGAGGCCCACCTGAAATAGTACCTCATCTCTTTAGCCGTATAAATGCAATTTCAATCAAACACAACATTGTTTCAAGTTGTATGTACGGGGTACGCATGGTATACATCATCCAACGAAATGCTTACATTTGCATTTGTCATTTAGCAGATGCTCTTGTCCAAAGTGACATACAGTAGTGAGTGCATGCATTTTCCACTTACTTTAAGGTTCATTTGAATGTTATAATGTGTTTTGTATGTATGCAGTGTCTTGTTTGCTGAAATTACCTCTCAAGCCATTGCTGATCTTTTAACCTGTGAAAAACACAATTTGATGCTGCTGTTGAACACATAGGGTTTGGGTTTGGGTTGGTGATGTTAGATGTGGTGTTTACATTTCAGCTGTGTTGCTTGCTTTATGGCATTGGTACACTCTCAATAGTCTTTTTTATGTGTGTGTGTAAGCAGGCCAGCTGTGATGTAAACTAAAGGATATAGGAAGATACAATATGTCCATTATACCATCTGACTTCAACATTAACAAAGTCCTTGATGTTTCAATTTGAAAGAGTCCACTGCGGGCTGAGTCCGTGTCCCTTGAGGCTAAGATGACTGGATAAGATGACTGCCTGTCCCGTTTGGCCTTGGCTTTCACCTTAATGTGTGTGTGACCTTTGACGTATGACCTCTTGGCTGACCTTACCGGAAGCCATGATGACGGCAGCCTTTTGCCAATAGACCAGGGTGATGGTGAGGAATCCCATTGGTTTTTCTGTTTAAAAAAAAAACAAATTGCAAAAGGTTAAAGCCAAAAAAACATGTTGCCATATGTTAGCTAACTGTTTCACAAAAGAGCAGTTTGCATCCATTGTAAGTCATAGGGTATCTGTAGACTGGTAGATTTCTGTTAGCTACTATGGTATCAGTTGGTAGTCGTAGATACACCCCCCCTCCCTTTTTTAGTATTATTGTGTGGTTGATGTGATGTTTACCTTTTTGTATTTTATACAGCAAAATAAATGTTAAATTGAGGTTGATTAATCAAAGAAATTGGCATTTCTGTTCTTGAGCTTGTAAGCAAAGAGCAGGAATGCTGTCCATTCGCTGTGACTGCTTTGATGCTCAGATGGACATTGGCTGAATGTGTTACTACCTCTGCCAAGGCAATGTTAGACCACATCACTCATTAGTACAATAATGCTAGGGAGCTAAGTCCAAGGACCAGTTCTAGCAGACCACCTGAGTTTTCACCCCCAGTGTAGCCACTGTAGACTCCCCCACTGTGCCATACTGACGGACGGTCTTGTCCGTGTTCATTTAAAGGCAGTAGTGGTTACAGCAGCCGAAGCCACACTGGCTGGGATAAGTACGGGCCACCTGTACGCACAGAGTACCGGCTTATTGTGGACAACCTCTCCAGTCGCTGCAGCTGGCAGGACCTAAAGGTGAGCCCTGTGTGTCAAGTCTCCATCTTTCTCTGAAAACGGGTCAGAACAACCGCAAGTTATTTGTTTCAGGCACACTCTTGTTGTTAATTTATACAATATGTTTTTGGTTGACAGGACTTCATGTGCCAGGCTGGTGAGGTGACATATGCCGACGCCCATAAGAAGCAGCCCAACGAGGGGGTGATTGAGTTCCTTTCCCGCTCGGACATGAGGAGGGCCCTGGAAAAGCTGGACGGCACCGACATCAACGGGAGAATGATCCGCCTGGTGGAGGACAAGCCTCGCCGCCGACGCTCCTACTCTGGCAGCTGCTCCAGGTCAGGATAGTCCTGGGCTTACCACACAATGCAGCCGTTGGGTCCTAATGGCCCTCCTGTGGAAGGGGTTATATGTTTAATTTGCTGTCATTCCAGTACCAAAGCTGATTAGTTACCCAGGCTTACAATGTGTTTGATCTCCCAGGTCTCGTAGCAGACGTCGCTTTCGCAGCAGGAGCCGCAGGAGGAGAAGTTCTGGCAGCCACTCCAGGTCTCCCTCACGGTAAGAAAACTGCCCTGCCAAAGAACTCTACTTCACAAGGCTGGGGTAGTTACATAGATTAATACGTAGTTTATCCCAGATAGGAAATGTCATTGTAACACAGAACTAGTTTTAATGTATGTGTGTTTGTTCTCCACAGGTCACGCTCTCGCAGTGCACGGCGCTCACGCTCCAGGTCCAACCAGAAATCCCATTCCAGATCCGGGAAGAAGTCCCTCTCCAAGTCACTCAAGTCCCGTTCCAAGTCCCGCTCACGTTCTCTCACCAGGAAGTCCCGTTCCCGTTCTCACTCCCACACTCACAAGTCTCTCAGCCACTCAGTGAGCCACAAATCCAGCTCACGCTCCGACGCCCGCAAGTCTCGCTCCAAGAGCCAGTCAAAAGTCAAGTCTGAGCGGGGATCCAGAAGCCACTCCAAAGAGAAGTCTGTCAGCAAGAAGTCCCAGAGTCGCTCCCCGTTCCCCTCAGAGAATGGAAACGGAGAGCGGGCCAAGTCTGCCTCCAAGTCTCCCTCCCCACAAGAAGACCATTACCAATCCAAGTACCCCACCAAGCACTCAGCCTCTCGCCCTCTCTCACGCTTTAAATCCCTCTCCGTTCGCGATCCAGGTCGACTTCCAAAGATTAAATGCACTTGTTTAATTAGGAAGTATGAAAGATGGTTTGAAAATAATTTACAAATCGAATACAGTGTTTTGATTTCGCCCACTCTGAGCATTTGGTTTTGTTGAAGTTGTGATTGTAGTGCATTTTAACTTTGCATGAGAACCAGGCTGAAAGATTGTGGGTTGCTATGGAACGTATTGTAGAGGAATTGTTCTCAATTTCCTTATCTGTCTGAGATTGCTAATGCTTCATGTTAAAGATACTGGTTGATGATGATTGATGTTTGTGTTTCAAGAGGAAATTCTTTCTACTTATTTGTACTCTCTTTCTCACCATCTCTTCTGCATTGCTTTGAATCTCTGGTAGTCCAGTATTAAGTCATGATTTGTGATTGGTTATAGCTAGATGGCAAGGTATTATGTTATGACTAGCTTCACAAATCAAAAATAGAGGGAAATGAAGATCAACAATCAGATCTTTTTCCATATAAATTGTTTCCCCTATGTTTCTGTTACTTTCCTTGGAAGGTTTTGATGATTAATTATGCAAATATATGAATTTGGCAGATGTATTGGTTTCTTTGATATTGGTGTAGTTGATGCTGTCTGAATAGTCTAGACAGTTGTGATTGAGTATTGACTAATCACACAGCTTTAGTATAATGTATTACTACACTAATCCCAGGAGTGTGAAGGTGAACGGAAAGGCTCTGGAGCAACGAACAGCCCTTGCTGTCTCTGCCAGGCCGGTTCCCCTCTCTCCACTGGGGTTCTCTGCCTCTAACCCTGTTACAGGGGCTGAGTCACTGGCTTGCTGGTGCTCTTTCATGCCGTCCCTAGGAGGGGTGCGTCACTTGAGTGGGTTGAGTTACTGACGTGATCTTCCTGTCTGGGTTGGCGCCCCCCCTTGGTTTGTGCTGTGGTGGAGACCTCTGTGGGCTATACTCGGCCTTGTCTCAGGATTGTAAGTTGGTGGTTGAGGATATCCCTCTAGTGGTGCGGGGGCTGTGCTTTGGCAGAGTGGGTGGGGTTATATCCTTCCTGTTTGGCCCTGTCCGGGGGTTTCTTCGGATGGGGCCACAGTGTCTCCGGACCGCTCCTGTCTCAGCCTCCAGTATTTATGCTGCAGTAGTTTATGTGTCGGGGGGCTGGGGTTAGTTGGTTATACCTGGAGTACTTCTCCTGTCTTATCCAGTGTCCTGTGTGAATTTAAGTATGCTCTCTCTAATTCTCTCGTTCTCTCTTTCTCTCTGAGAACCTGAGCCCTAGGACCATACGTCAGGACTACCGGGCATGCTGACACCTTGCTGTCCCCAGTCCGCCTGGCCTTGCTGCTATTCCAGTTTCAACTGTTCTGCCTGCGGTTACGAAACCCCTACCTGTCCCAGACCTGCTGTTTTCAACTCTTAATGATCGGCTATGAAAAGCCAACTGAGAGACCTGAGCCCTAGGACCATACGTCGGGACTACCGGCCGTGGTGACTCCTTGCTGTCCCCAGTCCGCCTGGCCTTGCTGCTATTCCAGTTTCAACTGTTCTGCCTGCGGGTATGGAACCCCTACCTGTCCCAGACCTGCTGTTTTCAACTCTTAATGATCGGCTATGAAAAGCCAACTGAGATTTATTCCTGATTATTATTTGACCATGCTTGTCACTTATGAACATTTTTGAACATCTTGGCATGGTTCTGTTATAACCTCCACCCGGCACAGCCAGAAGAGGACTGGCCACCCCTCATAGCCTGGTTCCTCTCTAGGTTTCTTCCTAGGTTTTGGCCTTTCTAGGGAGTTTTTCCTAGCCACCGTGCTTCTACACCTGCATTACTAGCTGTTTGGGGTTTTAGGCTGGGTTTCTGTACAGCACTTCGAGATATTAGCTGATGTACGAAGGGCTATATAAAATAAAATTGATTGATTGATTGATTAATTGCAAAGAGAAGATGTATGGAAAATCATGTCACTGTTTTCCCTGAGAAATCTGATTATTTCCCCCCTAAATCTCCTCTTTGTGGAGGTCAGGTCATCTGATGCAGCACTCCATCACTCTCATTCTTGGTAAAATAGCCCTTACACAGCCTGGAGGTGTGTTGGGTCATTGTCCTGTTGAAAAACAAATGATAGTCCCACTAAGCCCAAACCAGATGGGATGGCGTATCACTGCAGAATGCTGTGGTAGCCATGCTGGTTAAGTGTGCCTTGAATTCTAAATAAATCACAGACAGTGTCACCAGCAAAGCACCCCCACACCATAACACCTCCTCCTCCATGCTTTATGGTGGGAAATACACATGCGGAGATCATCCGTTCACCAACACTGCATCTTACAAAGACACGGCGGTTGGAACCAAAAATCTCCAATTTGGACTCCAGACCAAAGGACACATTTCCACCGGTCTAATTTTCTATTGCTTGTGTTTCTTGGCCCAAGCAGGTATCTTCTTATTGGTGTCCTTTAGTAGTGGTTTCTTTGCAGCAATTTGACCACGAAGGCCTGATTCACACAGTCCCCTCTGAACAGTTGATGTTGAGATGTGTCTGTGACTTGAACTCTGTGACGCATTTATTTGGGCTGCAATTTCTGAGGCTGGTAACTCTAATGAACTTATCCTCTGCAGCAGAGGTAACTCTGGGTCTTCCATTCCTGTGGCGGTCCTCATGAGAGCCAGTTTCATCATAGCGCTTGATGGTTTTTGCGACTGCACTTGAAGAAACTTTCAAAATTCTTGACATTTTCCATATTGACTGACCTTCATGTCTTAAAGTAATGATGAACTGTTGTTTCTCTTTGCTTATTTGAGCTGTTCTTGCCATAATATGGACTTGGTCTTTTACCAAATAGGGCTATCTTCTGTATACCCCCCCTCCCCTACCTTGTCACAACACAACTGATTGGCTCAAACGCATTAAGAAGTAAAGAAATTCCACAAATTACCTTTTAAGAAGGCACACCTGTTAATTGAAATGCATTCCAGGTGACTATCTCATGAAGCTGGTTGAGAGAATGCCAAGAGTGTGCAAAGCTGTCATTAAGGCAAAGGGTGGCTATTTGAAGAATCTCAAATATAAAATATATTTTGATTTGTTTAACACTTTTTTGGTTAATACATGATTCCATATGTGTTATTTCATTGCTTTGATGTCTTCACTATTATTCTACAATGTAAAAAATAGTACAAATAAAGAAAAACCCTTGAATGAGTAGGTGTCCAAACTTTTTACTGGTAGTGTATAACCAACAATTGTATATTGTACTGTCATGTGTTTTATTACCTTATTTTGAATCCATTTTGTTTTGTCCCCAGGGTCTATGCTGTGAAAGTGCTGCAAAAAAAATCAAACTGAAGAAAAAAAAGAGGTTCCATTCAGCTCCATAGTTTAATTATGAACATAACAGTAGATTGATTTTAGAAATTAAAACCTTAAAAAAACATTTTTAAAAGATGAATATACTGTACAGTAGGAGTGGGTTTAACAATAATGCTCTATTTCTTTGGCGCTGGATTCTTCCATGTGAAGCAAAAGAACATCATGGCAGAGAGGAACGTGCTGCTCGAGTCTGAATCATTCTTTTTTTTTGGGGGGGGGGGGTGGATCAGCTTAATATTGCAGATAGATTGTATCTTCTATCAATGTAATTGTCTGCATCACTTCCAATCCCCCATGTTTTTTATATATATACTCCCCTTTATTACTTTTCAACCCTGCCATCCTTTCCCTACTTGGAGTAAATTAGTGAACAACAATGCCCAGGCCTCTACTTCCGGTCTATACTTACTATCTACACCTTATGGACACAGTTAATTTTACAATTATTCTATTATATAAATATATATTTTTTTTGCTCCTGAACTTCTTCTACTCTCAACCTCTCCGATCATTTTCATGATGTCCATCCGGTTTGCTTCTATATGCCATATCTTTCTAACTGTGCTCTTTCCCAAAAGCTCCAAACATACAACCTATATACTTATTATGGACACAGTATGCTTACATTATTAGCTATCTTTGTTATTATTTGTTGTTATTTGTTATTAGTCCCATCCTTCAACTCTATTCAATACATCCCATCTATCTCTTAACACCATCCATTTAGGATTTCTATTTGCCATATATATTTCAACCGTATTTGTTTTACAAAAGTTCTGAACCTTTCTATTCTCATTGCTTCTACAGATTGTGAATTAAAAATAAACATTTTTGCTAAAAGTATTATTATATTATTGATCGATTGACTATTACTTTTCAGATCACCCAGTAATGCTATCTGCAAGGTTAGCTCCAGGTAAATATTGCAATCCTTTAGCCATTCCTGGACCTGTGTCCAAAAACAAGATCTGCAGAGCTGGGAAGATTGTATCCCCCATATAAATAACATTCTATTGGTAGCAAGAATTTTATATAATAATTTAAATTGAAAGATTCTAATTTTTGAATCCGGTGTCGTTTTGCGTGTCAGTTCATGAACACTATGCCATGGGATCGGTAAGTCAAAAATCTCTTCCCAACTATTTTGCAATCTATATGGGACGCCTGTCAATCCTTTGGTCCTTAAGTGAAACTGATATACTTTTTTATTTATCACAGTTTTCCTTAACCAATTATGTTCTTTAATGCAAGGCCGACAGACAAGTTCCTTACTTTCTCCCCCTTCCACTTTCCTCTTCCACTTTTGCGGTAAGGCTGCAATTATTTGGTTGTAATTTTGGGTAGAGCAGACATTTCCATATGTTTTTGTTAGCTGCATGTGCGACATAACTCCACCAGTCCTACCGATGATATCATTTGCGAAGATTATACATTTTTTAAACATTCTGTCAAAAAATAAAGTTTTTTTGTCAATTAGTATATTTGAATTTAACCACAATATTTGTTGCATTATTTGTTCTGTCGTTTCTGGAGGATTAAATTGAAATTGCAACCAACTTTCTATGGCTTGTTTTAGAAATAGTGATATTTGGGAGATGATTTCCTTTTCAAATAACTGCAAATTAGTTGTTGTAATCTG